AACATTGCTTGAATCATCGGATAATTTGCCAGCAAAAGATCCTTCCACATGATTAGTTAGCCTTTTGTATATGTTTATCTGTTCTTCAGTAACAGCCCATATAACATTAATAGCGTTTTGTTTGACTTTTAAGTTAATTTGAGAAATACTTGGATAGTCTTGTAAAGAAGAATGCGTGTAGAGTCCAGTGCCATCTAAATGACATTCACCGTCATTTGGTTTTATAATTCCACCCAATTTTCCATCTCCTGCATAATGAAAACCAGCATCCGTAGAAAATACCAAAAGTCTACGAGCTTTTTCACGCCAACCAATTTGTCTTCTACAAACAATAGCTTGCATAATTGCATCAAATCCTCCTTCCGGTGCATCTAAGTTACCAGATACTGAAGCATTACGCACCAAGCTCTGCATATATAAAACAAGTAAATATGAATTTGTAAAACCAAAAAAAAATATGGAGAATTGAATTTTGAAATACGTACTGCAAAATGACTAGTGTCTTGAGACAATGTCATAATGTTTTTATAACCATATGGTGCTGCACATCCATCACATGGTTCTATTAACCTGTAATATAAAAGGTTATAATTTATTATTAAATTATACATATAAAATAAGTATGTACAAAATTATAATGTTTAAAAACTTACGACTTTGGCATTGTATTTACGTAAGGCATTACAACCTTATCAACAAAACTGCCAAAGCCTAATCTGAAATTACTTGTAATTTTACTCATACTTTCTACTAAAAGTTGACCTAAATCTGATAATTTTTTCTTATCGTCTTCCATAGATTTACTCAGATCCATAAGATAATACAGATCAACAGGATAATCTTCGGCTTGTGAATAGGCAAAATTCATTCTGTATGCTTCATCTAAAAATACATTTTATTAAAAATTATAAACTATCTTTCTTTAAAATTTGTTAAGATTTTTAAGTAAATTATAACAACTTACTTATTCTAAGTTTTAAATTAACTTCTTGAGGCCAAATTTGTACAGCTTCTTGCCTTTTACTGCTACTGCTGCTACTACTTTCTTTAGTTGATTGTGAACTAGAGCTAAATGAGCTAGAATTGGAGTACGAATACTCATAACTACTGGTACCACTGCTACTATAGCCACCCTTTGTTAAATTGCGATGTTTCATCATACTGAAAACATTATCCGGGTTCCATGTGTATTCTGCCGGACATGTTGCAAATATTTTGGTATTTATATTTGGTAGAAAACACCGCTTTTCAGAGAATTTCTAGGAAAAAATAAAGTATGTGAAATATATATGCAAAGACTAGTTGTATAAATAAAAAAAAATAATAAACAAGCATGCTACATACCTATTTTCTCTTTTTTTATGTACAGAATTATTTTTTAAAAATACAAATAATATGCAGCCTAATAAATATTTACAGATAGCTCGCAATTTATTTATGGTATTTATAATTGTAAAACTTACTGGCGCAGCACACCAAGCACAATGAGGTGTCTGAATGCATTCATGACAGGTTTGTTTACTGATGCAGGGATTCATTCCTGTCAGTCTCTGTGGTGGTGGATAATTTGCGTTTGCTAACGATATAACTATCGCTAGTGTTAGAATCCATCCTGAGCTGCCAAGCATTCTAAATGTATATGAAAAATAATTTAATATTTTAATATCATTTTAATGGTGATGTAAAAATTTGTGATTATATAAAAAAGAAATCTTTAAAAATAATACGAGTAAATTATTATAGTTTTATAGATTATAAAAATATAAAACACTTTTTTTATGACTAAAATAATAATATAAAGTATCAGCCATAATGAATGATTTGGTATGATCACTTTAGGAAGTAAGGAAATAGGTATGAGGTAATATTCCTGTAATTGTTGACTCACTAAATTCTTGAATTAAGTATTCTCAAAGCCTATTTTTATCCATCTAACAAAGAAATATTAATTGTACCTCAGAACAATTTATATTATATTTATATGTAATAAAAAATAATACACTAAAATTAATATTTAAAATTGGGACAAACTGGCATCTTCATTTATAAATACAACAGAAATTTTGCAACAGTGACTATTCTTGAATAACTGAGTTAACATATTACCTCGTTTAAACAATTAAATATAATTTTACTTGTAATAAATTAATGAATTTCAATAATAAAATTTAAAAAATAGAAAATTCATTTTCAATGTTGTTCTATTTCTTCTTTTGATTTCTTACGTGAAGTATATTTTCAATACCCTGGAGAGAAGAAAAGAGTAATGATAAAAAGGAAGAAAACTAAAAAAACAAAAGAATAATTAATTGTTTCTTAAGGAAAGGAATAAAATGTAATTAAGGTGCGGCTATACGAAAATGATCATACTTTAATTTTTCTTGAGATGCATTTCTATTACTATAGAAAAGGACAAACTATCAGCCACGTAAATTTAAACAATTTGTTACATATCAGGTGCACCCGATACCTGCAGGATGTGATTATCCACAGGACAGGACAGGTCGCTTATTCATTCACAACGATGCCGTCATCTTTATATTTACAAAGTGCTATCACTTTGCAAACGGAGAGGCACACGTTAAAACGGTGAAAAATAATGAAAAATATAACTGGATAAGAAATATGGAAAGCTTACTTTTTTTTCGAAGCTTCTTTTTCAATCTGCTATTAAGGCATCACAAGTTTGACCAATGTTTTCTTGTTACTTGAATCACCATAAAAGGTAACCCATCAAACGCACGCACTCCACAAACAACTGCATCCACAAGATAGCGAGGAGACTCTCTCAAACTCTGTGGTAGACTCCGCGAGTGGACGTATGTCACAAATTTCTAAGATATAGATGTACGACTCTTTATACAGAAAGGAAATAGTGTCACTACACTAGCGCTACTTGCATTTAAAATACAGACTATTTATGTAAAATGTCTGATTCGAGGGAAACTTGAAGATTCATTTGAATTTTTAACGTCGAAATATCAAACACTCTAGTTGAAATAATAATACCTTTAAATAACTATTTAAAATAATCTTAAATAGATTGCTAATCTAGTATAGTAGAAGTTTTTTCTTTCTCATGGATAATTTTAAACTTTTGATACTAGAGTTCTAGTATATTATATATAAGAATTATTTTTATTCCCGTATTTTACATATTTATATAGTTATGTTATTTCGTTTATCAATAATGTTATGCTTTAAATTGATGATCCTGTAACTGCTGGTAACAATGAAATAACGTTAGTAATTCGTTGGAAATCGTTTTGAATACTCAATACAACTATAGTCATTGAATATCATGAAACAAAAGATAGAGTATACAGCGTTATATATGTTAAAAACAGTAAATACTTTGACTGCATAAAAAGAAATATATTTCAACAATATAAATGTATTAAATAATAAATGTGATATTGTATAACGTCGTTTACAGGTACTGCTCAGTCAAAATCAATACTTACAAAACCTGCGCAGTGAACGTAAATGGAAGTCTAGACCATTTCTGCGCATCCCCACTTTCATTATGACCGATTATACCCCACATCCGGCTTTATGGTAAATCGTTCTTTCTGTCCCTGGAAGCAGTGCGGGTGAGACGCTTGTTGTCTAATTTTTCTTTTTCTTTGCTAAAAATTAACTACATTTCTAATCGCGTTAAAACGAATTATTCATTTTCCTTTTGCGATTTCTTCTAATTTTGTTAAATAATTAGGAATTTAATTTTAGAGATCTTCATTACCTTTTGAACCAGTCGAACGTAAGAAATTACGTTAGCATTAGTTTCACTGAAGACAGAAAAGTTATTATCAACATCAAATATGTGAGTAAAATTTATATTTTAAAATTTAGTAGGATATTCATAATAGATTTACAATTTTTTAAATTAACGCTCTATTATAATTCTCATGATTCTTATAAAAATGAGTTCTAATCGGCCATTTTGAAAATATCTGCAATGCGTCACTATTAAACTTCCTCTTTTGTATCGTAGAAATTAAAAAGAAATTAGTATTACGTAACATTTTCATTTTTAGTAGTAGCATTTCTATTATATAATACTAGTATTTCTATTTAAACGAAGTATTGTATTTAATGGACACAATTTTAAGAACAATGCGAAGAAATCGTACTTTACCCTGATCTTTGAAATGTAAAAATTACCGTGTTGCTGCAGTGTAAGAATAATTTAATGAAAAAGGCCATTACTACAACTATTATATATATTAAAGGTTACGACAAATAGTGGGCTCTTTCAGTTTCATAAGGCAAAGGTTTGTATCATGATTGTATATGTAATAATAAGATTATTAATGAAAAAATTTAATGTTAAATTTTAACGTTTTTGATCAAACTCATTAATGCAATCAGTACTTCTCTCTAATGAATTTTTATTGATAATGATATAATCATTTATTGACGGAAATTATGTAATAAATTGGTCGCATAATTGGCAGGAAATTTATTGTATTGATTAGAAATTGATCTATGACTTAAATATTAACAAAAAAGAAAATTAAATAAATCGTTCGGGTCATGGTTGTAGTCGCTCGGCCGCCATATTTGCCTTTATAGGAACGTTAGACTTTTATAAAAGTAATGGTTTATATTTCATTATATATTATTTATTATTAACACAGTTTATTACAATATATGATAAATGAAATATTCTAATAAATACTAAATATAGTAAATATTATTTTCATGTGTACAATGACATTACATGTGTATAAAATTAGAAAATGTACTTATTTTATTTATTTTGTGGCTACGTGACCATAACTGATGACTGTACTAAAGATCTGTTATTATTTTGAAAATCTTAAAAAGAATTGGCATAATCTTTAAATTGAACAAACGTTTATTCTTGTTAAACATCTAAAATGAAGTAGAAAATATAAAAATGAGAAATTATATGAATATTGTATAGTTATAGGAAGTATTGCACATATTTCAAGATATCATTTTATTTGTATGAATGCAAGAAGAAATGATTAAATTTTAACAATTTTATTGGGTTAATGGCATTATTAAAAGTGTAATTATCTCATAATTCATTTTTCATTTTTTTATAATGAAACATCAGAACTTCATGTGCTGAACATTGAATAGTTTAATTAGCCATTATTCATTTTATTATTGAAAATGATAAATTTTAATTCAAGGTTTTCAAAATGATATTATATATTCCTCTCATTTTGGCATGCCTCCATTACTTCTATTAATGGAGCATGAATGCTTGTGGGAGGAAAAGAAAAATGTGAATATGCCTTCGGAATCCACACATTTTTGTCTGGAGCCGTTTCTCAATATTCACCACACTTATTAATACTTATCTACATTTGTTTTGTATTATGTAACAGATAAACATTTCAACTATGAATATCATTTTTTCTTTCTTTACAGGACATATGGAACTATGTCTAATGGTTACAGCAATGCGAGTTACAGAGGTGGTAATAAGCTTCAAAGAAAAGGAACATCATCATACACCAGTAATAATGGACGTTTCGGAAATCGTAACAATGCATCTTTTAAGAGAAGTGCTGGCACTAACCTAAGAAAAACAAATTGGAGTTTTGAAAATCTAGAACCGTTTAAAAAGGATTTCTATGTACCACATCCTAATGTGCAAGGACGCCATCAACGAGATGTGGATAGATTTAGACAAGACAACCAAATTACTTTAAAAGGAGACAAGATTCCTGCTCCTATTCAACATTTTGAAGAAGGAAATTTTCCCGATTATGTAATGCAAGGTATAAGAAAACAAGGATTCAATGAACCAACTGCTATTCAAGCACAAGGGTGGCCAATTGCAATGTCTGGTCAAAATATGGTTGGAATAGCGCAAACTGGATCTGGAAAAACATTAGGATATATTTTACCTGCGATAGTACACATTAACAGCCAACAGCCGCTAAGTCACGGAGATGGTCCAATCGCTCTTATCTTAGCACCAACTAGAGAACTAGCACAACAGATTCAAAGTGTTTGTAATGATTTCGGTTCTCTATCTTATGTAAGGAACACTTGTATTTTTGGTGGTGCACCAAAGGGGAGTCAAGCACGAGATTTAGAACGAGGAGTTGAAATTTGTATTGCTACTCCTGGACGATTGATCGACTTTTTAGACTGTGGTGTAACTAATTTGCGTAGATGTACCTATTTAGTATTGGATGAAGCCGATAGAATGTTAGACATGGGTTTTGAACCACAGATTCGAAAAATTATTGAACAAATCAGACCTGACAGACAAGTCCTTATGTGGTCTGCAACTTGGCCAGATGAAGTCAGAAATCTAGCAGAAGAATATCTTAGAAACTATACACAATTAAACATTGGATCGTTAACATTAGCAGCGAATCATAATATTCTTCAAATTGTTGATGTCTGTCAAGAACATGAAAAAGAAACAAAGTATGTAATACTTTTGTAGTGTATATTTTGATACCAAATTTTTTTTCTTAATTATAAAAGTGAACTATACATATTGTAGATTTCTACTTGTGATGATAATAATGTATGATATTGTATGATTCAGTATAAGATTTTTCCTCTAAGAAGAACTGATTTTCACTTTTGTATAAAATAATTTTCTTTCTTTGTCCATTTAAATTATAATATATTTTTGTTGGTAATTTTAGATTGGGAACACTTCTTCAAGAAATTGGTAATGTAAATGAAGATGGTGGAAAAACTATAATTTTTGTAGAGACAAAGAAAAAAGTGGAGAGTATTACTAGAAATATTCGTCGTTACGGATGGCCTGCAGTGTGCATGCATGGTGACAAATCGCAACAAGAACGAGATTATGTTCTTAGAGGTATGTTTTGCGTAGTAAACATTTTTTTATGTAATATTTAATGTGATTTTTCGTTTATTAATTCGTTTATAAATTTAATTATATAATTTCAGAATTTAGGAACAAGAAAGGTTCGATTCTTGTAGCAACGGATGTTGCTGCTCGTGGATTGGGTAAGTAATTATACTTTTAGAAATTCGAATAAAGATGTTAGACTTTCAAGAATGCATTGTTGCTTAGATAGATAAACTGCATTTGCGAAAATCTATACTTGTTTAGAAAAGGATAGGGTAAAGTGGCGATGTAGCACAGACTGGTTATATGAAGGTGATGCCTCACAATGTTTAGCATAAATATATACATATAAACTTAATAATTAAAAATTATTTTTTAAAACTTGCAGACAACAAAGTATGAATATCTTTTGTTGGCTGAGTACGAAATATTTTGTAGAATTTGATAATAATTAAATAGGGTATATACCAAGTGATACAAAAAAATTAACGTTGCACCAAAAATGTTTCTAATACATATTCTCAAACTTTACATAAGCTTAAAGTATTAAATAGACGGCATTAGTTTAGCTGGTATGTTTGTTTTTATTTATTTGTATCACTTAAGCTCGTATATTTAACTTTATTTTATAATCGTCGTATTCCCACAGTATAGGATTTATTACAGCATATTAAGTTTTTATAATATCGTAAAGTTTGAAAATATTTGTTCATAATTGTAGTATTTTACAAGAAGGTATTTATATAGGATGTACATAAGGGATTGAAATTTTTGAAACAGGTTTGATATCTTATTTGTTTTGTGATCGAAAGGGGCAATGAATTTATTTATCTCAATCTCTCTTTTTTTTTAATTATCGTCTTCGTTATACTTTCGACCATTAGGTTTTCTGTCTATCTGTAGGAAGTAATTACAATTTTTTATCTGTTTTAAGTATATTTTACCAGCGTTATAAAGAATTCACTAATGCAATCTATTTCAATTAAAATAGAAGGGAAAAACAATGTTTTAAATTATCCGCTTGTGTTAAAGAATTGAGAGAAAATATTGGAATACAGGAAACTAGCAGTAAGTGTGGGCATCTTATAATTTATGTTAATCAGTCTGGTTGTCCTTTGTTTCAGAGGCACATGGTGCACAAATTGTGTTGAGTGTGCGATGAAAACGATCGTTCGATAAGAAAACATGGCTCACTCACTGTACATGCGCAATTCTGTTTTGCACATAATATTGTACTTAATGTGCCTCTGTGTTCAGCCTGTGTACCACGCAAGTAGTAGAGTGGTGCGCGGGTGGTGCCGTTATCGCGCTGGTTGAGTGTGAGATAAGACCGTGGTTTGCATTTTGGTACAACCGTCACACTTCATAGCCAACGCTCGGCCGGTGTCAGAGACAACAATCTATTGATTTTGCTACTATCGCTACTCGCTGGTGATGCTTAGGACACAATATTGCGATGTGTACTTGCATTTAAGAATAGTACCCCCTGGGGCGCTCTGGATGCAGTCACATGGAATGCAATGTTCACCGGTCACAGGGTTTGTATTTATTACTATGCAGCTAACTTACATTCATATGCATTTGATTTGATTCTAAAGTTGATGCAAATCCTTTGAAAATATTCTTTACGAATTGTTGGTATTTAAGTACCAGGATATCAGGGTGACAACATAAATTGATAAAATATTTTGGTTATTCAAATACTAATCAGTTTAGATCGTATAAATCTGAAACGTCTAGAACTGTTTGAGTTCTATAATATTTTAAAATATGAAAACTGCTAGTACATTTTTAACTGCCAAAAATATTTATATTAAAGATTATGCTATTTGTAATAAATTCTTTCTATTAGTTCAATTTAAACAAGTTTAATATATTTAAAATAGTATTTTCTAACATTTAAGATATTATGAAATAATAGTTTCTGCTAATATTTATTTTAAGAAATAAAAGAAATAATTTTATCATGTGGTCAATAATACATAATTGTAAGACAATAAATGAATAAAATATGATTTTTTATCGTCCGTTACAATTTCCTAGAGATATATTATTCATTTCATTAAAATATTTATATTCTATATGTTGAAATGGGCAGTGTATGATTATAGGCTTAGCTGCATATACATGATTCGAAAGGAAGGATAAATTGTAAACATAAAACTTTTTACTTTCATATAATATAATGCATTACTATTTTAACGAGGTTAACGTAATATTAAAGAGAATATAATAATCTAAAAATGTACTAAAGAAATTCATATATACTTTTAACATAACAAGCAAAACTAATAATTAGATTTAAAAATTTCTGGTTATAGTATTCATTTTAATCAAATTATTTCTTTAGATGTCGATGATGTAAAATACGTGATCAACTTCGATTATCCGTCGTCGTCTGAAGACTACATCCATAGAATTGGTAGAACGGGCCGTTCAAATTGTATGGGAACAAGTTATGCATTCTTTACACCAAAAAACAGTAGACAGGCTAAAGGTCTAATTAATGTACTTAAAGAAGCTAATCAAGTAGTAAATCCAAAGTTGTCTGAACTTGCTGATAAAAATGAAGATTATGGTGGCCGGAGTGAGTACAGTAATCAAATAAAAATATACGTAAAATATTTCGCCAATAGATCAAATTGAAATGTTACTTACAATGTGAATGTTAATTTTCAGATCGTTGGGGATTTGCTCACCGAAGGCTACTGTAACTATTTTAGTTGATTTTTTCAACTTTCGATCACATTTCTAAATAAGTGAACTTCTTGGAGACTTCTTACAATTTTTATTTAATTTGTGACTAGAGAAAGTTCTCCACGTAGGTTACTGTGGTATGCTTTAGTGATGTGCTCGATCGACTTTTTACGTTATTTTTATTTATGATCGATAGTGGTAGAATAACTTCAGGAAACACGGGAAACATTTGACACATTTAAGTTATAAAATTGTAGTTTGTTATACTTCTGTCCTTTTCAACTCATAAAGACGCGTACAAGAAAAAGTGAAAAGTAAGTAAAAATATTAAGTAGAAACAATACTTAATAGAAAGTTGTTCATGACAATCTTCTAAAATTGATTTAAATTATAAAAGGTCTTTATGAACTTATACAGTAAGAAATTTCTTGCAATTATCAGTTTCAATTATATACGCTTTTCAAGTTTTTAAGAATAATTTAAACATTTGTTTAGTTATCGCGTCTCAGAAGTAAGGGCCCTGTAAGATGTGAAGTAACAGTAACTATCAGTATTCATTCCACTTTTTTTAATGTGACCAATTTTTGTTCTTGGTTATATTATAAAGTTGTTCTGTTAATTTGCGTCTGTAAAGTGAAATTGCAGAGCGCATTGAATATAATGACTGTGAAGCTACACTTTTCTTACATGTATGTCTTACTAATATTTCTATTTATATTAAACACAATCTCAGTCTATTGGAAGGAAGATTCTTTTGATAATTTATTCTTCTAGTAAGGTTAACCATGTATAAAAAATGTAGTTTGACTTAAACTTTCCATCGATCTAACAGATTGTTTGAATCATGACAGTAAAAAGTGGCGTTCTTAGTAATTAATGGTTTTGTTAATTCTGTACCTTCTAAACCTTTAAAGCACTTAAGAAATTATCGCACGTCACTGTATAAAATTTTTAGTTATCTGTAATAAATTTTAAACTGAATATTTTTGATATTATTAACACCCCACATGTATCCTCTGAAATAAATCTAAGTAAACTTGTGTTTAAACTTACATAAAATGTTCTATGTGTGTGTTTCATATTTTTATCTTGGAAAATAACTTATAAGTACGAAGTTTTTACTGTAAATAATCATAATTATTCTGATCAAAATAACTGATGGCAAGTTAAAATACATATTCAACAAATTCTGTTAAGGATAATTGGTTACTGAGCTATGTGAACTATGCGAACATTATTGATTAAACAAGTCTATGAAAATGGAAGAACCAGTGCGGAAATCCGTACTCGACTTCTTTCGTGAAAATAAGAAACTCAGTCTGTGTAGACTTATTTTTTGTGCGAGAATTACAAATTGTGAAGATGTTGCAGTATTGTTTGATACAGTAATAAAAGGAAAAAGTCCGCAACATATTACAGGGTTACTTCTTATTTATTCCCATTATGTGATTCATTTACTCGAAGTTTCAGAAGACAATTTATTTCAATTATGTAATGAAATGTTTACTACAAGTCCAGGAATTATGACCAACATTAAATGTTTATATATACAAAATGATGCCAAAAATAGATATTTTAGAAAATGGCACTTTAAAAGAATGAGCGATTCTGCTTCTAAAACTGAGAAGCTAGATGCATTTGATGATACTTTTAGGAATGTTTCCAGAATACATGAAACAATAATTTTAAATTTACATAAGTTATATATAAGATTGTGGAATATATGTAGATTGAAAAATCATGTAAGTCAATATAAAAAGAAAAAGTAATAATTCCAGCATGTAATAAAAAAATTTTATTTGTAGTATATATTAATAGAACTTATTTTTATAGCAAAATTTTATTGAAGAATTGGATTTAATAGCTAGAGAAGATCATCCATACATTCCATCTAAAGCAAGTATAGAAGTTGTTCTGAAAAGTCGTTGGGGATATGATATGACAACATTAGTGAAGGATTATTGTAATCTGAAATATCCTATGAACTTTGATGATTATTCGCAAATTTCCGAAATAATTCAAGAAATCGATTATAATAATAAATAAAAATAGTTGAACAGTATTAGTTAGTATTTTTATTATAGAGAGTAGTGTGGAAAAATGATTAAACAATACAATTTGAATATAAAAACAATTGCATATTTTTTTATCGGTATTTAGTGCTTACAGTGCAGTAACATCTCATTTTTTCCCCATCATCTAGTAACTTCGCAATATAAGTTAGCAAGAATTTAAAAAAGAGAAATAGCAATAAATATCAGTAAGGATGAAAGAAATAGCTTTCATGACTTCCAAATGTGTCACCACATTCATTGAATCTCGAGAAGTTACAGAAATAAAATTATATGTGCACAACATTAGTACTTATTTGTCTCTATGTGATTTCTTAAAGAATATGTGAAATATGTGCCGTTTTTGAAAGAAATGTACCTAGGTTATACATGATATGTGACACGAAGAAAAATTGTCTAAATTATATCATATTAGACTTAAATTTAAAAGTATACATTATATAACATTGTCGTGAAGACGATTCATATCAACATACATAATTTTACTAAGGGTCACTTAATATAAATAACGTGGATCCACCGCATGCTTTTAAATAGTGGTATACAAACAATGTGTACTTTGACAAGAGGTTAAAAAATTGCCTATTTTTTTAAGATGTTCTGTTTGCCGTTTCATTCTGTTTACGGTTTAGATTAGAAATTTAAATTATAGTGATTGTATTGTCTTCCTGGATTGATATATTTTAAGATTTTTGGGATTTATGAATAATGAGATTTATAGTATTAATGTCATATTATTCGTCAGATGTATAAAGGACAGTAACAATGAATACTTCAAAAAAGATAAGTGATCATAATACAGATCATGCTGTAGCAGGGGCTGTTAGTGGCTTTATAACAAGATTGGTTTTTCAACCTTTAGATGTTATAAAAATTAGATTTCAGGTAAAAAAATGCAAAAATTTGTACCTGAAATGTTTGTAATATTCTACTGCATATATTATGCTTAAAACAAGTATTTGACATTATAGTTGCAGATTGAACCAATTATAAATCACCATGTTAGCAAATATCATTCTATAAAACAAGCATTTTTTTTGATAACTAGAGAGGAGGGAATTTTTGCACTTTGGAAAGGACACATACCTGCTCAACTTTTGTCGGTTGTATATGGAATGAGTCAGGTGAATGTGAATAGTAGGAACTACAAAAATATGTTTAAATGTATATGAAAATATTCATGGTTTGCAGTTTTATTCGTATCATCTGATTACAAAAGCAACTGAAAACTTTTCACAATTCAATGAATCAAAGTATTCAATAAAATTTGTAGCAGGTGCAAGTGCTGGTTGCATAGCTACAACTATATCATTTCCTTTTGACACAATGAGAACAAGATTAGTAGCCCAATCAAGTAATCATGCAGTATATAAGGGACTTCTACATTGTTGCAGGTAAAATTTAAAAAAAAAAGCTGGAAATACTAGCATAGATAACTGTGTTATCTTAAAAGACTGTATTTTCAGTTGCATTATTCAACATGAATCTTCTAAAGCATTTTTTAATGGATTATTACCAACATTATTGCAAATTGCACCACATTCCGGTTTGCAATTTGCATTTTATGGACTTTTCACTGATATATATAAAAGATACAGTAAAAAAACTGATACAAGTTTTTATAATTCTGTGTTATCCGGCAGTGTAGCTGGATTGTTAGCCAAAACTGTGATATATCCACTTGATCTTAGTAGAAAAAGATTACAAATACAAGGATTTCAGCATGGTAGGAAAGGTTTCGGTACTTTTTTCTCTTGCACCGGGATGTTAGATTGTTTAAGACTAACGTTAAAAGTAGAGGGTCCAAGGGGATTATTTAAAGGCTTAGCACCGAGTCAGTTAAAAGCTGCAGTAACAACAGCTTTACATTTTACCATATATGAACAGTGTTTAAAATTAATAAACACAGTAAGGAAGTTACATGCATCAGAAAAATTAAACGATTAAAATGTTAGTAACAATATAATCTAATATATTCCTCAAACGTTGTATAAATGTTTTAAAGTATATCCATCAATTTATACATATGTGCATGTAAGTACAAAATATTAATAAATGTACTGGATATACGACTTATACATATAGTTTCAATATTTTACAATGTTTATATTTGAAGTGGACTGGGCATTTCGTTTGGTGTTCCTTTCAGAACTGCTAAAATGTTTTTTGCAGTAATCCTCGACATCTCTTCCCGTGTTTCTGTAGCAGCACTACCAATATGAGGTAATACCACTGGAATAGGAAGTAAAATTTATATGATTATCATAAATTAATCATAAATTACAAATATAACTATTATATTTACCACAATTATCCAATTTTAATAATTCGCTATCTAATGGAATGGGTTCTGGAGTCATAACGTCTAATCCAGCTGCTCTAATTGTTCCCTTTTTTAGAGCTTCTATTAAAGCAACCTGATCAACAACTTCTCCCCTACTAACGTTAATGAATATACCAGATCTTTTCATCTTTTTAAATGTATCCTCATTGAACATTTGTCTTGTTTCTGGTGCTAAGGCTGTTGTCGCAATAACAAAGTCACTTTCTTGTAATAGTTCATCAAGTTTTACTTTTTCTCCTCCAAATTCAGATGCTTCTTGTTTAACAGTTCTACTTGTATATAATATTTTTGCAATGTTAAAACCTTTGAGGATTTTAGCCACTTGAATACCAATACGACCTAGGCCTACTATTCCAACTGTAGAACCAGATAAACCAGGGCCGCACATCCAAGTAGGTGACCATGCTTTCCATTCTCCCCTATATATATATTAATCAATTGAATGGATTAATATTTAATCTTTTATTATTACTATATCTCCATTTCATTATATGTATAGCTTCAAAACATACTTGTAAATAGCTCTGTTTGCTTCCACTAGTCGCCTAGATGTAGCTAATAATAATCCTATAGTCAGTTCAGCTGTTGCATCTGTTAAAATTCCAGGTGTATAACCTACTTTGATGTTCCTATCTTTTAAAGCTTTCAAATCCAAGTGGTCAACTCCAACTGACATAGTACCAACTACTTTTAATAGTGGTCCTGCAGCATTTAAGACTTCATCATCTATTTTGTCTGTTAGTAAACAATAAACTCCATCAACATTTTGTACTTTTGATAATAATACAGATCTTGGTATTGGTTCTGGTTTTTCCCAGAGGATAATGTCACATCTATCGCAAGGTGTATAGGAAAAAAAATATTATTTTATATACATTTAAAATTTAATAATAAAGTAGGTTATTCAAAATATTTCAAACTTATAAACATTTATCGAATAATAGTCACATATACTACACACATTTAGTGCATTACTCGTGTGTAATAGAGATTTAAAAGCATGGTGTTTGATAGCATAAATAAATAACATGTGTTTTATTTTTTACTTGAAAAGTACTTACTGTTCTTGTAATAAATTTAATCCTGCAACCGGTATATCTGGTCTAGTAATCAAAACTTTTGGTCGATTCATTTTTATTGAACTGGTTATAAACAATTTTGGGTTGTTCCTCAATGACAGCAAGAAAGTGAATGAAAAAAGCGGTTTTTGAGTCGGTTTGACAAATCGAATGAAGTTAGGTAATAACATGTCGTTTTTTAATATATCACTATAAAATTATTTAATGTTAATTTTATAGTATAGCTTTCGTAATTCTACGTTTTTGCAATTCCTTTAATATTTCATTCTTATTCCTATCGTTTTATGACGCTACTTACAGAATTGAGCAGATTTTCGAAAAAGAAGAAATCGTGACGTCTATCTACCAATGGAGGTACTGTAAAATAGTTTCTACTAATTCTCAGCATCCCGCGAGTTTTGAGAAGTTACTGGAACTACACTGTATTTTATTTTACCATACTCTGTATTACTACTTACAAACTATAATATTAATTTTATTAAAAAATAATAAATAAATAAAAAATATAATAAAAAGTATTGTCAATATAAAGTAGATGCAAAAATCATAATTAATAGAATTTATTACATATTTACATAATTATATTTAGTTTTTTTATAATTTATTCAATGTTATAACATTAGCCATCAATAAACTGTAAAAATTGAACAATTGTGTATTTTCTTCTTAAATATTCGCAGTTTAATTGTGTACCAGAAAAGCTTTAGATTAGTTAAGATTAGTCTATGTTTTACAGTGATAATTCTTCATAGCTACAGAAATTGTATTTTTCATTAACATTGTTACAGTCATTGGACCCACACCTCCTGGTACTGGTGTAATATACCCAGCTACCTGTTTTACATTTTCAAAATCCACATCTCCTACTAATTTATATTTGTTTCCTACATTTATTTTGGATATTCCCACATCAATTACACAGGCTCCAGGTTTTATCATATCTTTAGTGATTAAGCCAGGGATACCCGTTGATACTACTACTAAATCTGCTAATTTTGTAAATTTTGTTAGTTCACTTTTGGGAGTATGACGATGACATATTGTCGTAGTCATATCTAAGGCTCCTGTATTACCTAGAAAATAATTTGTAGTCAAAACTTTTATAAATTGTACATGAGTATTTGTATATACATATTCATCAATTTTATCTATCAGTTTTAATACAATATATTATATTTTCATAATTATAATAGAACAAGATACCTTGGCCACTAGAGTGTAGAAGTAAGGCAATTGGTAAGCCAACATGTTTTGATCTTCCAACAATTACTGCATTTTTTCCAAAAGTATCTATTTTACTTTTAATTATTAATTCTCTTACACCTAAAGCAGTTGCAGGAATAATAGTGTGATTATTTAATGTTAATCTACCTATATTTTCTGAGTGAAACCCATCCACATCTTTATCTGGTGCAATTGCTTGGCATATTTCATGTTCATTTATATGCTCTGATAATGGTAATTGTACAATAATTCCATCTATAGTTTCATTTTTATTTAAATGATCAATTTCTTTAATAAGTTTCTCTTGTGTTATTTTTTCTTCTAAAACAATGGTAGAGCTGTCAATTCCTGAAATGTACATAATGAAGCTTGTTATCTAAGTAATAATAAAAAATGTATACTTTTTAATCCAATATATATTATTATTATGAAATTCTTATTTGAAATTCATTTTTACCAATCAAACTTGCAACTTTCATTTTTCTTTGAACATACAATTTACTAGCTGGATTATTGCCAACTAATACAGCTACTAATTTTGGCTTTCTATTACCATTCTGTACCAAAGTATCCACAGTCGCTTTTAATTCTTTTTGAATTTCATTAGCAATCTGTTTACCATCTATTATTACAGCTTCTTGCCTGAAAAAAGTATGTAAAACTTTTATGAGTAAAGTAACTTCCATGTATATTTTTTATTACAATTATAATGTGCAATTTTTTTTATAATGCTGCAAATAAATGATACAATCTACTTACAAAATTGATGAAATGTGTAATTTTCTTGTAGGTCTTTGAGAAACACCTGTTAATATTTTTCTCCAAGAAAACATAACGAATAAAAGATATGATTCAAAATTCTTCTAGAAATACAAATGTATAAGTTCTATTGTACAAATATATAATTTTAATTATTGATATGAAATCACAATATTGTGGCATATATAAATACGACGATGAAATGAGTACAATGCACTTCTTGTGAACGCGTATCCACTATCCAATTATTATTGGCGTTCAAGTATCCACGCTGTCTTCTAGTGAAAGGCAGCATTCTTTTTTATCTTTCAAACAACTTTCGCGGGCTCTTTCTCATTTTCTTTGTACCATGCGGATTTCCGTTTGTTGCGTCATTTTACGAATATGTTACGTCATTACGAGTTTGTATTATCAAATCATCAAAAGAAAGCACCCGACTGAATGGCCCGTATCACAGACGAAGTGTATGCCTGCCCTTAGTCATAAATTTAAAATGATCACAAATTAAATAAACCTTATTAAAATAGTAAAAGACATCCGCATCTGTCACAATTCTGGTCACAAGTGCTAAAGAAAATGTATTTTCATATACCCTTTATTTTCCAGTATTAAAAACCCTAAGTCTGTGCCGATATTACAGATCTTAAGTCTGTAGATCGACAGGATAGACTGGACATCTAATGTAAAGTTTTGTCACATGACCGAGGAGTTATTTTATGCACAGACTTAAGATTTGTACAAACTGTGCATACAATGTATTTTTCTGCATCAATATTAAATTTTTCAGACCATCGGACATAAAGTTTGATAAGATGTCTAGTTTATCCTGTTTTTCGTCGGTGCTGTGTCGATGTTTCATTATTGACTGTCGATAATATTTATACTAGATGTTTGTTTAGACCACGGATGGCGTAATAAGTCATTGTTGCTGTTTTTATGGATCAAATAGTTTACTTAGTTATGGCTGCCTACAGTGGTAGCACATGGTTAATTTTACAGAACTAAGTAGTAAATATATTGTGAGTAATCAATACAGTTTTCAATATTTTTGTACGTAATTTTTATCAATTTTAACAGTATCGTTAAGCATACAAGTATTTACTTGGTAAATTTGTTGACAGTGTATAAGAACAAGGTGAGGTTAAATATAAATTTTGTATATCATTTTTCTATCTCGTCTCTCTTAAATTTATTATAAATTTGATTAAAGATTCAAAATGACCACCTCTCTTGCGCAACAACTGAAGAAACTTAAAACACCGCAGACTAATATATTGCTGCAGGACAAGAAGCGACCTAGCTTGTTATTTGATCCAAAGGAAGCTGCCAATTTAGATAGAGAAACAGTTCTAAACATAGGTAAACAACTAAGTTTATTAATGAATGATTCAATATAGTAAATATCTTCCTGATTTTAATATTAACTGAATAATATTTGTATAGGTCAAAATGGACTACAGGAATTAGCTAAGCTATCAGATTTATTTTTGGAGTTTGAAAGAACACTTTTCGCACAAAGCTCTCTAAACCTTGAACGTTCTGTACAAGATGTTAAAGTTAATAAGAAACTAGATGGAGAAATTGAAAGATTTCTTATTCTCTTGTCTCCATATTTTCTACTCAATCATGCTCACAAAGCACTTGAATGGTTGATACATAGATTCCGTATACATGACTTCAATAAAGATCAATTTCTATTATTAATATTACCTTATCATGAAACTCGGATGTTTGTAAAAGCATTACAGTTGTTAAATCTATCAGATACAGCTGATAAATGGCATTGGTTGGAACCTCTTCAAAAGCCTGGTGTTCCTCTAGCTTCTATAACATTGATTAATAGGCTTAGCTCGGATAATGGTTTTTTGAAACTTATTTGCAGTCATGTTGTGAATGCTACAAGAGTATATTCAGAGAGAGCAACATATCTAAGCACTTTATATGCTTTTTATACTACATCTGTATTAGGGACTATTCATCAATTATCTACAATGTCTGAAGTTCAGATAGGTCATATATTACCAACCATTCTAAAAGGCTTAGAAAGTTCTATTGCTGATTTTGCAGCTAGTACTTATATGATTTTATCAATGTTAATGAGCAAAATGAAATTGAACAATGAAACTACTGAAAAGTTACACTTGAAGATATTTAAGAAAACACATTTGAAAGAAGAAGCGTTGATTTTGTTATTTTTCATGTACAACACACCAGTTAATCAACTCACAACAGTGTCAAAAAGTCTTGCAACTCGATTATCAGAGCTTTCTTGGTTTCTTCCACTGGCAGTAAAGCTTCAATCGTCTAATATAAATATATTAAAATTCATTGTACTTTTGGTGCAAACTAGTTGTAGTTTGATTATGGAGAATCCATTAGGAACATCACGAGTTCAAAATATGGTCAGTGAAATTCTAACGCAAGTAAAGTTGGATGATAATGGAGTAGACAACATCTTGTGCACTGTCTTGGAAAAAAAATTTCTTGTGAGTAACACATTAAGTGCAGCTGAGGACTTCTTAATACGTTTATGTCAATGTCTCGAAAAGATATATCCTGAGAGATTTGACGATTATTTAAAGCGTCTAATGAAACACAGCGATAAGGATAAAGATTCTAAGCTGGTATTGCAGTTTTTAACATCATGGCATTTCGGTTCCAGAGATACAAAAGATTCCATAGGAATACTTGACAGATTAATTCATATTAGTCCAGAACAAAGGATCATGGCACTAGAAACTCTGGCAAAGGACAATGTGAATATTCCAGAAAGTTTTCAGGATATGATGACAAATACATTACAAGCTAGATTCAGTGACAGCGAGGTGAATGTAATTAAAACTTTGCTATCTCTACCCACAAAACGTTTAACAAGTTTTATCCCTGTTGACATATTGATTGAAGAATTGAAAGTATTACTTTCAACCTGTCATAGCAATAACAGGAAAATATTAGCAAATCCAGCTCTTAAAATCCTTTTGGAGCTTTGTGAAATTGGAGATGATACTAGCGTTTTTATTACGGCACTACCGTATTTGTTTCCAAATGACGACGCTGATGTAGTTATCGCTATGGAAGTGCTGAAGTCAAATTTTGCTAAAAAGAATGCTTATATGCAGTGTGTTCAGAAGGATTTAAGTAAATCGCCTAATGCAGAGGCAATAACTTCAGCAGCTTTCCACAACATATTAAACTGGGAACTATTACCTTCACCTGATAGTATATTGCGTGCTATGAAGCAACAAATTGCCCATGGTGATGCAGGATCCATGTTTTTTAAACTAATTCTTTTGGGCTCTGTATGCAGAGTACCGGTTGGAGCTCTAAAACCTGAAATAGCCTGGGAAGTCATTGAAATGGCCACAGAGATAATAAAAAAGTTTCCACAAGTCAAAATGATACAAAATTGCAACAACATAACAGGACACAATATTCAAACTGCTATTGAATTGACGTCACAAGGAGTTCTGCCACTCCAAGTGGGTACATATGTTTTAGAAATGGTTCATAGACGTTTAGACTTGAAGATAAACTTTAAGTTCGATTTTGAAAACAATTTGCATCAAAGTAATTTGATCTTAAGACTTCTTGAAATGTTTTTCGAGGGAATAAACAACAAACGATGGTGTAAACATTATTCACGATGTTTGCAAATATTCTTCCAAAGACACTTTAGCACTGTGAAAGATCTTCTTCAATTTCTGTCTCAATTATATATAAAACCAGTCAAAGTGCAAACATCATTTCACTGTTTGAAAATAACGCTAGTGCTTCTGGATCAGTGTAAATCCATGCAATGGGTATATGAAGATAAAATTTTTGTAACCAATTTGTTACTTTCACTTGCTAGAGAAAATAATGAATGTAGAATAGCTGCGATAGACGTTCTTAAAAAGCTTATGCAGACCTTCAATTTTTCAATGGGACCATTCTCAGCCTTACTACAAGAATTAAATAAACGAAGTTCAGAAATATCCATTGATCCTGATCAATTGTCTCTGTCTCTCTATGTATTACTCTCACCAGATCCAGATGTGTGTGGACAATTAAAATCTGATTTGCGAAAAAAGCTTCAACAAGCACAGCAGTTATTATTTGATTTAATTATGGATTCTGAGACTCCTATGCACATCAAATCACAATTATTGGACATTTTGGTTCATGTAAATGGGCCGTCAATACTAGAGCAACTATCTCCTCTTGGACTTCAAATTTTGCAGACCTTAAATATTGAATCTAAGAACACCTCTGCTGGAAATTTACTTAAGAATATTCTTCAGAGATTCAGTAGTACAACGGCAAAAGCTCTCACAACACAAAAAGTCTGGCAATTATTCGAGGCTAGTATAGTTAACTATGAAGCTGAAGTGATTACAGAAAGTGGAATGCAGCAATCACCGAGCGTTATTCTCTTGAAAGAAATAGAAAAGACGTTCTTTGAAAGTGCTGGAAAAGTGTCACCTGAACTTCAAAACAAAATTTTAGCAAAATTGGTGGATGTAGTCTCTGAATGTGATATGAGTAATATTATTTCTACAGCTAGCAAGGCTATCAGGAGAATTCAAGTGAATGCCCAATTAATAGTTAATGAATTACGAAAAATGAGGAACCTTAAAGATGAACACCTAAATGATACCAAAGCAAAGACTAAGAAACGATTAAGTTATATTCACTCCATTCCAAACCCAACTATAATTAACAGAAAGGAATGGAAGCATGGGGTTACACTCTTGGAATTTGTACAAAGAGCAGATAACATTGAACAAGAAGAATTACTTTACCCAATTTTGTTTGATTTACTGAAAACATGTTTGAGCTTTGAAGAACAGAGTCCCATAGAGTATACTAATCAACTGTTGCTGTCTACAATTCATAGACTGGCTGTAAAAAAGTTGCCTATCAAGGATGCTCATCTCCAAGTCGACTTGATAACACAATGCATCAGGACATCAAGGAATCCTCAAACCCATCATCACGCTTTATTGGTCTTAGTGGAATTATTGAAAATTGTCGATATCCGAAGTGCTCTTTACACTATCATGCCCATATTTACATTCATGGGTAGTTCTGTTGTCCGTCAAGATGACGCTTATTCAATACAAATTATTTCAAAGACCATCGATACAGTGTTCCCCATAATAAACGCAGACGAGAATGAGATTCACGCCTGCGAGGTCTTGAGAACATTTATCGTTTCTCTGCCTGATATTCCTGAACACAGACGGACACCTTTGTTCGTGAAACTGTTGCAGTTATTAGATAATCATTTCCATTTATATTATCTACTTACTTTTGAAAGTCATGTTATGTCAAGAACAATGCGTATTACCAATCAAAAGACGGCTGGTCAAAGGCTTGAGTTTGCTCTACAGGTATCTCAAGAGTTTCCATCTGCTAGACTTATTCAAGTTTGTGTAAAGCTGGCACAGTTTATGAAAGAATTACCAATCGATATAGAAGGAGAAGAAGATCGAAAAGCTGCTATGTCTTTCAAGCATAAACATATCTTTGATGTAGCAAACAGCAATCCCAAACATTTAAGACATTACAAGTACACCTTAGTTCAGTTTTTAAGTAACTTGTTGTCATCTCCTGACTTCATTAATCGGGTGGCCGAATTAGATTCCAGTAAAGTAAACAGTATGAGACCTTATTACGATCAGTTGATAGTAGAACTGATTCTTTTGATCCAGAGCACCTCGAGGAATGCTGACAAACATCAGGGTAAACCTATTGGAAAATATTGGAAAGTTCTTTTACATCACCTCTATGATGTGCTGGATCTAGTCAACAATTTACTACCGAATGGAATCTTCTTAGTTAGTGTAAAGCGTTTGATGGAACATGAATTATTAACGGTAAATAGAAAAGCTTTAGAACTTTTGAACACTCGCCTCCAACAACGCAAATTTGGAGAGGAAGATCATACTGATTTACTAAGTCTCATTGAGCCTCTTCTGAAGTTTATTCAGGCTCGGGCTAGGTCTGAGACACAAGAACAGGAAATCGTTCAACAAACTGTTTTAATCACTTTAAAGTTACTAGCTAAGCTATTAGCACCTGAAAATCCAACAATGTTCAAACCGGTGAGTAGATAATTATCTGCAATTGTAAGTTATGGTATAAACGTTCTCAAATTTTGATCATTCTAAAATCTACTATTTACTGTTTCATTGTTTCAGATTCTCGAGATGACAACTGAGCTGCTGAAAACAAAAGAAGGACCGGTGTTAGGCAGTGCAGCGCTCTGCGTTGCAGAACTTTGCAGTTCCATGCGCATTCATGCCATACATAGCTTGAATAAATTCGTTCCATCAATCTTACAGTTGTTGGAGAACCATTGCCATCAAGACGTGCCTGATGTGATAACAGTTAGCATAGTCAGCGCGTTGCAGAAAATAGTCGAATCTGTAGGCAATTTTCTATCTCTTTATCTGGATCAATTGCTGTTTGAACTGGCGAGGATGAATTCCTTGTATACTGACACCGAGCATCCAAAGATTGGTATAGTAGTATCAAGGTTAAGAGCAACGACACAAAAATTGTCCAGTTGTGTACCATTGCGTGTATTATTGCCGGCAGTGAATAGAACGTACATTACATTGTTCACAAAGAGATCATATTACTGTATACCAGCACTTATGACTGTCCTAGCAGAATCTTTCAATAACGTTCAACCAGCTGATTTACGTGCAGCTATACCAGACTTAGGTACCTTCTTCTTGAAGGTTTTGCAATTCCGTGAAGATATATCTAATTCTGCGGATGATATGGAAGTAGACGATGCAGAGTCGGTATTGAAGGATGTGGTAATTGTAGAAGAAAGTACGAGTAAAGCACTGGTTGCATTGGTTTTGAAATTAAGTGAGGCTACCTTCAGACCTCTTTATTACAAACTCTATGATTGGGCTGCTAGAAACCCACAGTATAAGCAACGAAGTATCACTTTCTACAGACTCTCAGCTAATATAGCGGACTGTTTAAAGTCGCTCTTTGTGCTCTTCGCTGGCCATTTTCTCAAACACGCGGCAACATCATTGAGTAGTAACAATCCAGCAATCACGGAAGAACCTCAAGAAATGACTCTACCGGAAGAAAAAAGCAAGATTGAATTGGTCGAGGCTATTTTGTTGACCCTTTATCGGGTCTTTAGTTACGATGCCCATAATTTTGTAAATCAAGAGAGAGTGGAAATGTTGGCACAACCCATCGTGGATCAGCTGGAGAACACTATGGGTGGTAGAGAGGAATACGAGAAGAGGGCACGCGAACTTATAGTGCCTTGCATTGCAGCCTTCGCTAATGCCATTGCCGATGACTCTTTACACAAACAACTGGTCTACCAAACATTGCTAAAGACTAGACACGCAAAACCTTATGTTCGAAGTGCCACATTGAATGCAATAGTAAGTAAAAGTCTATTTGTAATTATCTTTAATTATTTATTTCTATATTATGAACGTATAAATGTTCAGCAAATAACATAAATCGATACTCATGAGATTATATTTAAATCAAATTTTCTTTATTAACTTTTTTTAATACAGGTGGAGATTGTAAGGAAGTTAGGAGAAGACTTCATGCCGCTGTTACCGGAGACCATACCTTTCTTAGCAGAGTTACTGGAAGATGAGGATGAAGCTACAGAGAAACACGCACAGAACGCCGTGCGCACACTCGAAGAAATCCTAGGAGAACCATTGCAGAAGTACTTCTGAACTAATATAGTATTCGCAACTGTGTATATTTAAGTATGTATATATAAATGTATATTTACTAATGTAATAAAATAAGTCCATTTTTACTTTAATTCCATTATTTCTCCTCTCAACAATTTCGGAAGTTGTCTTGCTTTCAGATTAAAGTAAACAGAATTTATCTTCCAGATCGAAACCTTGCACACCAATCTACATTACACGAGAATATACGATAAAAGGGAAAGAGACAGAGATATTAAGAAAACATCCGTTTATTCTTAACTTAGTCACAATTTGGACGAAATATAGAATATATTATTTCCTTATATTATAATACATTATCGTAAATGAGCGTGTGTGAGTGTATGTGTGTGTGTGTATGGTTGTGTGTATGTCAAATTATGGCAGCACTAAATATAGGCGCCCGAGTTCTAACATTGACAGCGAATCTATGCGACAACGAGCGCATTCGTATATAGTCTTTTTTCGTGAGTGTCTCCCGTTTATAATTGCGTCACGTGTTTTTCTCGTAGGCGAGGATCCTCTTTCCGCGAAGAACATTTAATCGCGATGATAAACACGAATTTCAAAAATCTGACTCTTTGACGGCCATTTTCCTGTGACTTGAAACGTCCCAAACTGCAAGAGAATGATCGAGGCCTCCCGAGATCAATTTTTAAAGATCATTCCAGTAAAAAGCTGCAACGTAGGCTCCCTCGCTGACGTCTTTTGCTGGCACTGTGAACTTTTAATTGTCAAGTCACAGGCGGATCACACCGGTGGCATCTCCGCCAAGTTGCGCAGAGCTACTTCCTCGCCTTGCTCTATCGGTGGAACTTTCCTGCAAAACAATTTTCCACGATTAATTTCGCAATCGCGATTAATAGTTTTCGCTTCACTCTCTTTCACTCAAATAAAAATGATGCACGTTTCTCAGAACTGGAGCGATTATACACGATTTGTTTAACACATTCGCTGACCGTGAACTTACGTTTTTTTTCAAATATAAAAACTCTCAAAACATTTGATTCTCTTATTCTGTTCCATTTGCGACTTCTTTAATTGAAAGTTCTTCATTTCACACGGCAGATCGTTATAAGACTAATATTCTAAAACGAGTTTTCCAATGTTTTGTTTTATTTTTCCTGTTTTAATGTCACAAATCTGCGGTAATTAGTTTAGAGATTTTCTTAATTTTCACCGGCAATAGTTGTTAGAAAAGCGAAAAGTTTCCCAGCCGCGAATGCGTTAATGAAGAGAACAGAGACTTCAATGAAGATAGTTTTCGATCGTAAGAGGGAAGGAATTGGAATTGCGCTCGCGCAAGTGGAACGCGCACTTTACCCACCTTTTTCTGTACTGGAAGATAATGTAGACGATGATGGCATTGCCAACAAACAGCAGCGCAATTAGAACGGTCGGCAGTACAACATCTGTAAAGTTTAAAGTAGAAGAGATACGATTAGCGAATATCTCACGGCACGCGCTGTTTTTTAGGGGCCGCGCGGTTAGCAGCCTCCATCTTGGAGTACGCCTTCGAGCGTGGCACAGTGAACTTTAAACGGAGTCTGACTAATCGGTCGAAGTTTGCCGTTAACGCGATCATTTCCGCGCCGATTGCCCCTCAATCGAGGGTATGTCAATTGTAATTAATGGGGAAATTGTATTTTTCGTTGCGCCGAGTCACTGTTGCAGCGTCATCGCGTAGCTCGGAGTCGGAGCGAACCGAAAACTACCGAACAGTTCGCTGCATCTGGCCGTTTGTTCCATTTTCTACAACGATCTTGTTATTAATTGTTACAGAGCTTTGTGGACGATAAAGTTTAAGTAACATTTCGAAAATAATTTCTTTTTTCCTTTAAAGGAGTGTTCAATCATCAATGAAACTATTATACTGTAATATAAACGCTTCTTCGCATTGATACGACGAATGCACTCGCATTAAATTCAAATTTTATCACGATTTTCTACGGTTTTACAAATCTCCGATAAAAAATGGAGGTACGAGAGAAATACACTTTGTCGTCGAGAAATCATTCTTAACAATAGAACTACCGAGCAGTTAAATCGACTGCGTTTTATTCTCCTGTGGAGATTATAAGAGCGTATTTACTGAAATTTTCATTGACTGATATTGTAATTTGTGCATTACCAAGTCAAGTTATTTGTTAATTTCTCTGAAAACTGCCTATATTTTTTCGAACGATTGTAAAGAAAGAATTCGAGAATGGGTGCTTTTGGCCTGTCATGAGATGAATACTTAGTTCGCTTCCGAGGAAGCATTGAGCATAATTCGATAGCATTTTTAAACGTATTCTTTTTCAATAGGATACATCCGAAAGAAAAACTAGGGAAAGAATTAATTAATTTCAAGAATGTTGCTTACAGATTAATGAAGTCTGGCGAATTTGAATTTGATCTATTTTTACCGGGGATGAATATTAAAAAATATAAATGTAACGGCTTTATCTTTGCTTCCGGTTGCCCGGCAGCGATCGTGGCCGTTATTTGAAACGGATGCAAAACTTTGATTCTATTGGATGATGCTTGAAACGTGAAGAATTTTAAACAACGAGGGTTCAATAAGAAAGCAGGAAGTTTTCGCGATATCGTAAACGCGTTATCTCGGTGTTCAGGACGTTAATTTCAGCAAAGCAAGGCCAATGCACTGTACAGTGTCAACGATAATTATTCCATAACACCGTGAAGCAAGTGTCTGGACGACGAATTATGGTCATGGGACAGTTTTGCTTCGGATAGAGTGAAAGTAACCAATCGCGCGACAAACTTTAACACTAGGTACAAAGAACGCATCAATTTGACGCAATGGAATATTGTAAATTTTATTTGACAAATGTTTGCGTCGATCTTCATTGATACAATTGTACGAATATGTACCGTAACAGTCTATTTTTAAATCTCTAATTTCCAAGATTTAAACAAACGGACATCAATTTCTCTAAGAACAATAGAATAAGCCGTACAATAAATGTCCGTAAACCTACTGTTAAAGCTTACCATTGAAAATCTATTATTCCTTATACAGCTGAACAAACTTTGAATTAAATATCCCCAAGCAAAACTGTCCAATTCAAAGATTCTAATAATTTATTTCCAACGAAGAAATCGATTTCACAAGCGTGGCTCGAGCCACTATTGCTTAAAGAAACGGAAGAAGCGAACGTTGAAAGGAAATAACCGACGTTCGCAGATAATCAACGATCACGTCCACATTGAAAAACACAAGTGCAATGATTTGTTCTTTTAACGGACAATTACGTTGCATAATGTTGACGCAAGGGCCACACCAGTAATTCCACGCGACGCGTCTGATTACGTAACGATTACGCGCGGACAACAATCCTCTCCTGCGAGTTCGATGTCGGACCGGTCATTTTTGCAAGTGTTATCGCGATGGCGACCACGTGCGAGGTGAAATATGACCTCTGCTTCTTAACGTTTCCAGTTTTTTTCCTTCGCTTCCACAGGAACTGATGCCGCGGAATCGCAAAATTTCGTTAGTTGCTTGGCACCGTGGTAATATCGAATAACAACAACAATCGGTTCTTGTGGACACGTTCCCTATAAACAACTTTTTATTGAATGCCAGACCGATGTTTCCTTCTCGAGCGCAATTCCGTAGCGCAAAACCTGTTCGGGAGCAGCTGCAACGACTCCGAGTGTCCTCTCCAACGACAACAGCGCGGCCATAGGTGTCAGGGGAATCCCACGGCGCGGAGGAAAACACGATAACCGGCGAATTTCGGCGAACAATATCGATCGGGAGCACAGATTCGATTTGTTTAGTTTAATATTGTTGTTGGGAATATTCGCGGAGCTTGGTTCACCGACCTACGACGTAGTCCGATTGCTTCATCATGGCTGATTGCGACGAATCCATAATCTCCCTGGTGCCGCCTGCGACTGCGTCCTCACCCCGGCCGATTCTAACCCCTGTGCCAAGGATATTGTCTCCAGACAGAGTTGACAACTGATGGTGGTCGTGCTCCGACTTCAGGATCACCGCCGAGGTGGCTGGAAAATTGAAAAAATATGAACGGTTAGACAGGCTTCTGATGTTTTTAAAAATAATCGGTCTACGGGTGTGAATAGTTCATTCGAACATTGGGGGGCCTACTCGTGGCTGGGAAGTTCATACACCCCTGCGCGACAAACAGAAGTTGCCATGGAGGCATGGGAATTTAATGAATTATTCGTCAAGAAGCTATAAATAGCTGATTTCATTCGAAAATAGTTTCCGGTGGTATTACGAGTATTATTATGGTCTTATGTACTTTCTTTTTCTTTTTTAGCTCTACAACTTGATCGTTGGTTCTTCTTCAACTTTTATAACTCATTTAAAAGACTGCAACTTTTTTCAATTGCTTTTTGATCGGATGTTTGCTGATCATAGGTTACGCAACGAATAGATAATAAATATTCCTATACAACTTATAATAAATATTCCTATGTAACTTACACAGCAACGATCGAATTTGTCTTCATTCCTATCTAATTTTGAAATGTATTTGAATGTTGTGCGAATTTAATTAAAAATTAATTTCAATGAAGATATCGTTAACGTGTAATGATACGTTAACGTGCGTCTGCACATAACTTATAAGAAGTCTATTTTACGCGTTGCTTAACTTATTTAACTTTATAAATAATATTTCTAAAGCAATGGAAACGTGGTACTATGACAACCTAGCGTTTTAGAACACGTATTTAGAATAGAATAATAGAATAATAACAGAACAAATAAGTGACAGAACAGAATTATCATACGTAACAATATAAACATGGAGATTTAAATCATGCAAAATGTTTGAAAAGTTACAAGACTGGTCAGCGGTGAAAACAAGGAAAACCGCAGGCAGTATGCAGAAGACTGTGTTTCTAAGGTGCGCTAGAATTGATTTAAAAGAAGCAACAGAAGAAGGGGGTCATAAACTCATTCACGGGTCGTGTTTTTGATACTTGTTTTGCACTTTCTCGGTCTAATAACAACCGTCAGTGCAACGGGTCGTAGTTTATTCCTGGACCGCAATTACGCGAACTACATTTTTTTCATCCTCGGCCGTTTTACGACGGCTCTGGTTCCGCGGAAAACGGACGGCCTGGATTCTGAAGCGGCTTCTGTTTTTAGGGCCGCGCCCTCGCACGGATAATGTCGGAAACATCCTCGAACGGTTGCTGAGGTTGTAAAATACGTTTACGATCTGACCGATCGGTGTTCCGTCTTCCCCCGAAGCCAACACGTGACTAGCGATGGCACCCCGGAACGATTCGACGTCGAGTTTGCTCGCGGAACAACTGCTACACGCGCGAAATTACTATTTAACCAACGCGTAATCCATCGAATTTTTCAAAAATTCTAGTGTCGATTTACCTGCAGCCCTATATTTTGAACTGTACCACACTTAACCAGTTAACTGTGGAATTTAATTTGAAAAATCTCATCGTGCGCGCAATAAAATCAAATAATAAAGTGTATACTCGTCAAACGCAGAGCAAATGCATTTATAACATATTCTAACGAGAAACTAAGGCAAAATGAAGGAGAATCAAACATTTAGCTGAAAAAATTAATAATTTATCGTTGAAAAAGTCAATACCATTTTGCATTTTAAGATGACGTGTATACTCGTCGAACGCAGTTAACTGGTTAAAATACATTCAATGATACACATGTTTCCTTTNNGGAGGGTTAACACGTTGACTACCAATAGAAAATATGAAAGCTTGCTTCGCAGCCTAAGTTATTATTATACGCTTTATAATGTAACAGACAATGTGACTTGTATACTATTCTTGGGGCACAGCGCTAACGTGTGTGGACTACTTAACTCATAATTCTCAGTAGTCAACGCGTTAACTGCTAAATCGGTTAACTCCACGAAACAGAAAGTAGAGAAACGCGACGCGGTAGTATGCATTGATTCTTGAAATTTTCCTTTAAATGGAAACTCAAATGAAAATTATAGAATACATATTATTTTATTGTGGGATGCAGCTTTATATGCGAAATGGATAAATACTATATCCTGGAAGTAATTTTTATTGTAAAAGTATGTCTCTTATTCAGTGCCACGGAAACGGATGTTTGCATCTTGATACCTTGACCCTTGAAACAGTTCCGAGTTAAGATAAGATGATATCTCGATTGCTCCTTATAACCATTAAATAAAAGGAGAAACATAGACTGCACGCGGAGGAATTTCAAACGACATGTTGTAGAAATCTGTATTGCAAAATTAAGCATTATTTTCGTGAACCCAAATTTACTGAACATAAAAGAAATCATTTTTTTTTAAATTGTTCGCTCAGAAATGAGCAATTTAAATTTACTTTCTACATCCCTAGTTTCAGAGACACTGTAAAATACATACTTTCAACCCTCGATAAGAAAACATACGTGCCAAATATTTTTTTGAGATCTATGCTTCACATAAGTTTCATCAAAATCGATGTGCGTTAGTTGAAAAGGTTCCCTTGTTAGATTTGAACGCGCTCAAGACGCTCGAGTAGCCATTGCTACGGCTCCGCGGAAGAATTAACGTCCGCGGGATTTACGTTCTCGCACGTGTAAATCACGGCCACGCAAATTGCAGTATTGCCATCTACCAAGAAATTCCCATGCCGGGTGAACAGGAACCTGAATACTTACTTTCGGTTCCGTTCGGATTTGTTCTACACTCTGCGGATTGGAAAACGTCACACGAGAATTATGTGAAAAGATCGGCGGTCACCGGGCGGTAATGACTGTGTTAATGCATTCCGGCCGCGGTGCTTGTTTATGCGAACGGATATTTACCGGCTTCATTAATATTGATCGCGATACGATAGGTACGCCGATTACGTGTTTATCGGGTAACTAGCGTATCAATGTTGTTCTCAATCAATCCGAAAATACGCACTTGTTAGATTAACCTCGGGCGAGTTCCTGATTTTTCAGTATAACAGCGTGGACTAGTTTTAATTGTTATGCAAATGCTGTTCTTAGAATTAGATAAAGACTAACTAACGATGAACTATGATTTATTTCTCAACCATGATGGAGACAACTACTTTGCCATTAATAATTTATTGAAAAGAAGGACAAACTGTAGGCATATCCTACTGTATATCTATGTTTGCTTTAAAGTATAATAATTGATAACAGACGAATTTAATTTAAATCTTAACAATTTAGTTTACAATTTTCACCATGAGTTTGGTACGTTATCATAAGGCAAGGGGTTAATACAGGTTACATTATGCGTTACGATTTCAGATAAAAGGAGAAGATAAAATGAATAGTAAATTAGCGATCGAAAATATCAGGAATTAGGAAATAAAACTAATAGAAAATTGGTCGAGTAAAAATGAAAAGTGATCGATTAGCCAAATTCGTCAGCCTAACCATCAAGTGATCTAGCAGTGTACAAGCAACAATTTTCTGATTTTTTGTTTTTGTACGAATCCGTCGCGTCCTTTTCAGGTAAATACTAACTTTCGTCTTTGATCTCTTACAATTCTCCCTGTCTAGTATTACCGTGACCATACTCTAGTACCTACACGCACTACAGACGAAACCGTACAAAAGCCTTTATAGTATTTCTCAATCCGTTAAAGTATCTGTGCTAAGACGCGAAGAACAGTATTCGAATAATCGAAATGCATGAGTTTACTAATCTCCCTTTTCGATTTTACTTTTTACACTGTCAGGCTTCCAACTCGCAATGAGAAGATTCCAAGAAAGTTGTCGGGTTCATTAATTTTCAATTCATTTGATAAAGGATTAACTGCTAGCTTATGCAAATCAAATTACTGCTCTACATGGAAGCGTAACGCGTTGCGGTTTAAATAATTGAGGAATCCGATACAGAAACGAGATAACTTTGCTGGACTAATTTACGGAATGGCTTCGAAAAAGTTGTTGAACACTCCCAAAACTATATGAATATTAAATTTTTTATTCACGCTATTGTACATAATTGTTCATCGGCTTGCTCCATTTAATCGAGAAACTAGTTTGTTTTTCACTTCAAAAATTAAAATCAGAATCAAATTTAGAAATGTTTACGATAAATCTCGAGAACACTCGAAATTATAGATTTGTTAAATAGATTTTTTGCTATAAACTATACAATTCAAGATAAATATTCAAAATGGGACAATAAATATTTTTTTCTCGACGGAAAAGCGAATATTCGTATGTCACAACTTAAAAGTTGGTTACTCACAATTCTTGTAGGATGGACCGGAAATTATTGCCACAGAATCTGCGGGTTGTTATAAACGCTGTGATAAATGGCTTGTAAAACCATTCGTTCCTTAAGTGCAGGCTATCTTATCTCAGTTGTAGCTTTCGCATGAAAATATTCAAAATGGCGTCGAGCGGTAGTTTGTTTGACGGATGGAAGAGAATTTATTTTTGTAAATACTGTTTACTATTTCAAGTGGCATAATGCATGACTAACAAAGAGAAGAGAAAAAAGGTTTTCAATGGGAGACGTTTTTTTTCCGTTTGAAAAGTGTGCCTGTTCGAACGGAATGAAAAGAAAACCGCGTGAGTGAGGTGTACCGGAGGAATTCAGTCTGTTGAACCAATGATACATAGCTACGGGGCTTTCCGGTCGTTTTCCACGGCATTTCATGATTTATCTCCATACACAGAGTGTCCCATTTTAATCTACAAACGCGATTACCTCGGAAACCATTTTTAGTTTAACCAGTTAGCTGTTTTTGAGGAGTGTACTCGTCATGAAGAAATGGCAAGATTTTGCGTTTCACGAGTATACTCGTCATCGCTTACACTTTGCAACACATTTTAGGTTCACACTTTTCAAAGAGGTCACAACAGCCAACTGGTTAAACAATGTCCGCAAATGCAATTTTTTCTGTTTTAATTTGGTACACTTAGTTAGGTGAAGGTCATGAAGGTCTATATGAAAGTCATTACCATTCTCTCACGTGTAATCATGTAATTCTTTTGCACAATGGACTGCTATAACGAATAGTTCCGGAAATCATCGCGGTTACAGATTAAA